TTCATCCAGGCATCAGAACACAAGCTTTTTGCCATGATTCCTTTGTCGTTGGACTCGACCATTCGTCAGACCAAGTATCTTCGATTGGATTGCTTTGTCGTTGACAGCTTCTTGGACATCAGGAATTATTTGGCAAGCTCTGAGGTCCTTTTTGACCCTTTGCGCTGCCCAGACCTGATCCTCTACGCACGTGACAAGGACGAACTGCTTCGGCAGCTTCACAGTTGCCAAGCGCCGCAGCTGGAATCCGTCAGCAAGTTAGTGGTAACCTTTCTGACATCCTTTGAGAATGCAGCGTCCAAGATGCTGACCGGTGATGAGTACCAGGCTAAGGGTTGGGCCAGCTAGCAGCTAGCTGCTTGTAAAGTAAAGGTAAAGCATCAAATCATTCATTTTTAGAAGCTGATTCATTGTTGCTTTTGAAGCACTTCTGAACCCTGACCAGGTTTTCTTCCACCTCTTCATCCTCTATGACTGCCTGGTAAAGTTGCATTACATCAGAGATGGTGGTCGGCGTTTCTTGCACCTGCCAAAACATGTTTTCCGAGTGGTGTCCGATGAGGTTTGCCACAAATTGAGAGCTCAGCTGCCTGATGTACCCACAGAGAGGAGTAAATGGAGTTTTGATGGGACATCTCCATGGAATTGCCCCTTTTTGCTATCAGCATACCTGCATCAGTTTCGCACGTGTATTGCTGCAGAGACGGATCCGGAATTGGCTTCCATGTTTCAAGCCACCATGGACCCTCTGCAAGTGCCACGAAGCGTGGAAACTATGCGGTTGATTCTAGAGCGAGCAGGGGCGACCCAAATTCATCATCAGATATTTTGCTGTGTTTCAGAAGGTGGAATCTTAGACGCTCATCCTGCACATGAAATCAAGAGTGTACTTGAGTTATATGGCGATGGGTTGGAAGAAGCAACAACTCCCCATGAGAAACAGTGTCTCAAGGTTCCCCTTCCTTTGGAACCTGGTGAAAAGGCGGTCGGAGAGAAATCGAGCGCAAGATTTGGTCAAGTTCTGCGTGCTTTGCTAGTGGCCAAGTTCCCGGTCCTTCTGCGATGCAGAGATGGAAGAAGGACGGCAGCAGTGGCCACATTGCTTCGGTTCATCACAGATGAAGTAGAAGTGAGTTCCATTATGTTGCAAAAGTGGTTGCAAGCTTGGGATATGCTGGATGCTCTGGGCATGCTTCACTTATTGCCTTGCGATGATCAGTTGAGAACACGAGCCAATGCAGAGAAGGTCCATGCAAAGTGGCTCCAAGAGAAGATCGGCATGGGCTGTGGCTTAAGCTGGGAGGAGCTTCAACAACTCCGTATCAAGCTGAGAGGAACTCCGACCAAACCTGTGCCTGTCCATTTCAGCTTGATCAAAGGTGAGCCAGACCAGACCTGCCGTGCATTCACGCAGTCAGAGCTTGTGATCCTTGAGCAGCATTTCTTGAGCCCCAAACTTTGGCCAAACTTGAGGCCCAAGGGCGTCTTTGTGACAGGCCTGCCTGGTGCTGGGAAGAGCAGCCTCTTGCAGGAAGTGCTGTCGCACTTGGACATAGAGCTGCAGGATGTGGTGAATCTGGATGTGGACGAAATTCGAAGATTCCATGGTCAGTACCAGGAGGAAGCCCAGAAACTATCTTGGTCGGAGCTTGCAGAGCCAGCAGATGCGATCAATTTCCAATCTTATCAAGGGCTGGCAGGTTGGTTTCATGCTGGAGTAGATGCAGAGAAGATTCTATATCAAGGCCCGAACTCTGTGGTGTCTCAGCTGATGGGAAAGCGATGTCATTTTGTTTTGCCCGGAATCTTTGATGAACCGGGGACGTTGGAGTTCATGCGCTTCGTGGCGAGTGCTGGCTATGAGGTGCACTTGGTTGGCATCCATGTGTCCCCTGAGACGGCGCAGGAGCGGGTGGAGACGCGTGCAGATAGATCAGGTCGTGCGAGTCGCAACTGGTCTTGAAGATCAGTATGACGTTTTTCGTTTTTGACGTGACTTGCTGGATTTTGCTGATTTCTTGCCAAGATGAACTTCACCATCCTAAACTTTATGTCAGTTCCAGTTTGTGGTTCTCCTGTGCAGTTTTGCTATGATTCACTCCAGAATCCCTACTCTGACCAGAGTGGCTTCCTGTGCCGAGGTGACACGTGTGCGGCCGCCCTGCTCCAGCAGTTTATGAAGCTTGCGGATTTCGTCAAGCAGAAAGGTGGCGTGGTCGCCCTTTATGACAACGAAGCTTCGAACGCTGACAGCTGCCCTTTGCATCCGCTGTATTGGAATCTTGGATTTGTCTCACGGATTTGGACCCGTTGCCGTTGACAGTTGTTGATCCTCCTTGTTTGGCCATTCGTGTCCATCCTTGGTTTCTGGGTGCTACGTTTTCGATATTTTGGATTTGTTTCTGCCTACAAGTTACAAGCCTGACGTACTGGCGGGTGTGGTCAATCGCAAGCGAACTGAACCTGGTAAACCACCTCTGCCATTGCTGTTTCTGTGGTTTGAAAAAAACCTTGTGGTCTTCTGCTTGCGAAGACGCAATGTCCTCCCGCGTATTTATTCATGGCGCCATGAGTACCATGAAGGAGAGTATACAGTTTTGGTGTGGATCAAGACTGCACATCCCCAGTGAAACATGGCTTGTTGGTTGCTTCACCCCATATCCAAACTATCATTTGATAGTCTGAAGCTCTTGTTGAGCCGTTGCAAGCCAAGGAATGGAGTACTCCGCGATGCTGAGACCTGCCGCTGGTGGGGTTTGGCCTGACCGACTGCACGGATTTCCACAGTGACAAAAGGCTGATGTGGGAACTGTGTGCTTGAAAGAATGAAACCGGGGATGCGCATCTTTCATGTACCGCTACATGTGAGGTGCTTTTGATTTAAGCGTCTTGTGCACGCCCCCGCCTCTCAGCCACCTGTGCTGCCTTAGTAGGTGCCGTAGCCACCTTGTGTTCCGGGCATTTTGCGATGAACGGTCCCCCCGACTTGGTGAGACCCTTCCGACTCGTAGCGATTGCCGCTTTGAGGGACCGTTTTCGTCGAAGTCCATCGAGTTCCAGTGGAGCGAAGCTTCGAGAGCACAAAAATGCTCGCAGGCCTAAAAGTTGCTTCACAACGCCACTCACAAGAACTATATCAGGTGCTTTATGTTCGTTTACTTGCGCATGGCATGCGGAGTTCCGATGTATTGTTGCAGCTTACAGCTATCATAGCCAGCCTCTGCTGCAGAAGGCAGCTATATAGTTCCGAACATGCTGTCGCTTCCGCAGAAGGCAGCTCCTTTTTTCCCGCTAGTGTCCAATAATCCTTCGCAGCGTCCATATGTTCCCAAACAAAAAGGGTACATGCATGCCGCCTTCTCTTTGGTGGCCCCAGTGTGTGTGGCCTACCAGCGAGCATCTCATCGCAAGTGGGGCCCACCATCGACCTCACGCCAGGCCATCCTTGGCAAAGACGGGGGAAGATTCCGCGTTCTTTTGATCATTCACGGGTACCCACCTCTCTACAATGCGGGGTCTGAGGTCTACACTCAGACATTGGCCAGGGCCTTGAAAGCTAGAGGCCATGAAGTCTTGGTTTTTTGCCGTGAAGAAGATACCATCGCCCCATACTTTCGCATCCGCGAACAGAGCGATGGACCGGTCAAACTGAAAATCATCAACCTGCCAAACTTCCGTGACCGCTACAATATTTCAGAAGTGGATGAGGCCGTCCAAGAGGTTATCCAGGAGTTTCATCCAGATGTGGTCCATTGTGGGCACCTGAACCACCTTTCGATGAGCTTGGTGGAGAAGGTGACGAGGCACAACACTCCATTCATCTACACTTTGCACGATTTCTGGATGAACTGCCCGCGGGGCCAATTTATCCAGTTCACCGGTGAAGACGATGAAGACTTGTGGCCCCTTTGCGATGGGCAAGAGGATAGCAAGTGCTCAAAAAAGTGCTACGTTCCGCGGATGGGGGATCCAAACAGCAAACAAGATCAGAAGTATTGGACGCAGTGGATTGGCAGGCGCATGGCCACTATGAGATCAATTGCAGAGAAGATAGACTTGTTCATTTCGCCTGCAGAGCACTTGAAGCAGCGCTTCATTGACGATGGCTGCTCAGAACATGTTTTTTTGTTTTGTAATTTGCTCCTGTTATTACAGTGCAGGGGCCAAACGCTTTGATGCCTCAGTAGTTCACCCCATTGTGCAAGAGTCGTTCTTGTGCACTGCTGTTGGCCCTGCGTCGCAGCGAGGTTTCGCTCCGGAGTCCAAAGTCGTATACTGTGACTACGGCTTTGACCGAGATCGTTGCCACGGACGGATGCGGCGCTGGGAAGCCACACAGAATGAGCCCTTCACATTTGCGTACATTGGAACTCACAAGGCGAAAGACGCAACACTTTGTGGGTCAAAAAGACAATTCAGGTCCACTGTGTAGAGACTCTGTTCATTTGATTGAATGCAGCTACTGTATCCAAGTTGCTTTCCTGTGTTCTCCGTGTACTTTGAAGTCTGTGTAAAGCTTTGAAACATCATCGATGCACAGCATTTGATGTGGAAAGCTTTGAAGTCTGTGATCTGCCAGAAAGAACTTAAACCAAGCTTGTTTGTGCTCTTGTGTTCATCGACTCACGTCGAGGAGTCCAAGGGAGTTCAGCATCTCATCGAAGCCTTTGAAGAGGTCTCCCAGGACAAAAACATGCCGCCGACTCGTTCCTTGGGCCTGAGAATGACGGACACAGGACCTCAGGAGATTTTGGACCAAGGGTGCTCTAAAAATGGTGGAGATGGCGTTTTACTTAGTATATCTTAGTATCCAAGAGTATCAATGATGAAACACATGGTGAAACACTGGCCTTTCCTGCTGGATACTTTGTGGCAAAAACCTCTCACCCCTAAGAAACATTGGGAGAATCCTGTTGGCTCTTGGTGACCGCGCTTGATCTGCTAAGAAATGCCAAGAATTCAAGCTATGATCTTCCATTGGGGCTCTCACATTCCTGCTGTTGGTTCGTGCCTCAAAATGACAGGACCCTCAACCAACCACTGGCTTGTTTGCGGACCTTGCCTGGTCCCGTTGTAAGACAGCTCAGTTTCTGCCAGAGAGATTACAAAGAGGGTTGAGCCGCTGGATTTGATCTCTCACAGGCTTAAAGATCTTCGGACGCACGTTGGGGCAAAGTACTGCGGCCGAAGCCTCAGAAGAGATGACACGAGGTCGAACGCGTAACGTGGTGGTGGTTGAAACGAAAGGACCCAAAACTTCAGGAAACCATTGGTTGACAGGGAAACACGATGACTCCATCAGGTCAAGCACGTGTGCGACGTCCGCAGTGAAATTCACACAAACTGACGCAAAGAAATGCCACACATCTTCTAATCTGCTTCATGGTTGGCATAGCTTCAGGCTTTGCGACGGCTGGCTGACAAGCTGCTTCCAAACTCGAAGAGTTTGGAGTGGTGTGGTGAATATTCTAATGAGGAGATCGTGGAGAGTGCTCCTTGGCACCGGCTGGGCCTAGATTTTTGGAAGTCGCATGGGTTGCGAATCAATATGACCTATCAAGCACGGGATAGGCGAACTCAGCTTACCATCATGACTCAACGTCCGGGCTGCCATCCACTGTGACCGGATCGTGGTGGAGAACGGTGGATCGGGTAACGCGTCGGATCGGTGCGTGGGATCGGTGGATCGGTGTTGACCTGCAGAACGAAACGGCAAAGGATGATCATCCAAAAGTGACAGGGAATGAGACATGCGGCATGTCACATGCTGAAGAAATGCCCGTGAGCTTCCGAGGTGTTCAACCAGATTGACGCCATCGTAGTCCCATCGATCTGGTTGGAAAATTCTCCTCTGGTGATTCATGAAGCCTTAGAGGCGGGTGTGCTGGTGATCACAGCAGATGCCGGGGGCATGAAGGAGTATGTCCACCACGAGGTGGGGGAATTCCCTGAAAATACGGATTCACGTGGTGCTGTATATAGAACACAGGCACAAGCGCCATGTCAATCCACAGGAGCCTAAAAGGGCACATCCGTTTTGGGTGTAGGATTTTGCTGCTAGTTTGGCATGGCAGCCCAGGTGAACGGCTTGTTGTTCAAACACAGGAGCGCTTCAGCCCTTGCAGAGCAGATGAGAAGATGCCTGCGCGACCCTGAATGGGCAGACAAGCTGGCCAAGAGGGGGTATTTGTCCCTTTAGCTGCAGCAAGAGAACAGTAGAGGTTTTCAAAAGCTGCCAACGTTTACTGCGCGGTCACCAGGCGACCATGGTTTTTGTTTTGGCATCCCTGTCTTCCTCCTGTGAGTTTGGGGCTTGCTGTGCTTAGCCCCAGTGTCATCAATTCCTCCTGTTCCAATCTTGGCAAAGGCGC